TCTAAAAATGGGAACCGAGATCTAGGTGCTTCAACAGGCTGAGAATGTGCCTGCACAGCAAAGGAATGGGGGGGTGGGGAAAATTGTCCAAGTGTGCATCATCCTGATTGAAGTCCACAGGCAATGGCAGAATTGCTTGTAGATTGAAAGATCCCTTTGCCCACATGAAAAAAGCCATATCCTACAGCCAACACTTCTTCTTCTACTGATAATGCTGCACCTGCAGCCATTGTCATGGGCAGTTGAATGCCAGTACTGTCACTAGCCATTGTAGTCATAATAGTAAATTGTGAATTCAAAAATATTGACTGACTACTGGTATTTGAGTGAGAAATAGAATTCACAATCAAATAAAGAAATACAACTTGATTATAAACAATACTTTAAAAATGCAAAAATCAGTAACTGAATATTTTCAAAATGCACTAAAGAAAAAAAAGGTCTGAAATCAAAACACTAGGTCGTGCCAAATCAAGAAGTGATAATTGGGTACAACTGCATAGAGGGAGTCAGCTGACAATAGGAGGATGTGTCGTACTCCTATTGGTGGAGGGTTGTCGCATGCTTAAAGACAACTGAATGAAAATTTGTGCACTAGAGGGCAGTCAAATTGAGAATAGCTGCAACTGTGAGAGGAAGTAAGTACTCGTATCAGAATATAGTGTTTTTGTACATTTTTTAGCAAAATCCAAGATCTTGCAGTACTTATATAGTTTAAAATGGTTTTCAACTTTACCTGGGTTACTTTTCAGCTAGTATTTCCTTTTCCTTTGTCTTAGTTTAATTTGCAAAGGGTACCTACACACACACACTGAAAAGAGCTCTTTTGTCTATATCTTTTTTCAGCCCTTGTCAGTCATACAATTTATTGTATTTTTTCCCATTGTTGGTAGTGTATTGTTCATTGTGTATTATTAACTGTAAGGAGTATCAAATACTAATATTTGTGTGAATCTGTGTCTTCTCTCTTTCTCTGTGATTTAACTCTCCAAACTCATTGACAAATAAACATCTGGGCCCGAGATCCAACAACCTTCTGTTGATGGTTAGCCTAACTTCTCTGCTCTGGTAGTTATATGAGAGACATCACACAAAAAACATCCACATATTTACCTATCATACAAGGGCTTTACAGAACCAAATAATCAGTATATGACACATTGGACAAACTCTTCCATAATTTAACAATTCAAATATGAATAATTCTGAAAAAGACTAAGATTGGGCTGATGTTTTCTACTCTTATACTGATTTTTAATATTCAAACCACCACTAAAACCTATATATTAAGAAGAGAGTAAGAGCCAAGACTAAAGAAAATGTGTCTGAATAATGCAATGAGGCCAGAATTCATCAATCTCAACATGCTGAAGAATGAACTAAAACAAATGAGTACAAGTACTACAAAATAAACAAAGAGAAAAGAGTGGAAGCCAGCTCTGACTTGGAAGAAACAATGAAAAAAGTTATTGTACTGTTCAACCAATTACTTATGTGTAAATCACTGCCTATGGAACTAATTAATATTAATTCCTGATCAGAGCAAACTACCTATGTAGAAGAACACTAAAAATTAGTCTGGTATTAAGGCTTCAGTTGAAGGCTACTAGCACGATTGTGAGAATAGGTTAAGATCTTTTATATTTTCCCTAGAGAAAAGAAGGGTAAGACGTGATCTTATTGAACTTTTAAGATTATCTAGTTGAGATAGTCTTATTCTTCTAACAGGAGTTTAAGAGGAAAATCAATGATTTTCTGAAAAATATAGGGTAGATATAAATTGTCACTTTTCTCAAAGTTGGATACGTAAGGACTTTGAAGTACTAAATGATTCCTTGCTGTTCAAATGTTATATTACACTTTAAAATAGGTGAAATACAAGCTTTTAAGGTGAAACATGTTTATAAAACAAGACAATACTATGTAACAATGACTGTAGTGACCTATAACTAATAGTGTAGTAAAATGGTTGAAAAAAGGAATTGTGCAAACAAGTAAAAATGTATTTTATCAATAATTAATGAATACTAATACCATAGTTTTGTAAACAATAGTAACACGTACTTATTGAATATATATTAAATTATCAATATTTCATTGTTACAGTATATAGATGTCTGGTTAGTTGACTGGCATGTTTGTATATTTAGTTTTCACAAGCATTCACAGTATATACTGTGTGAATATTATACTGTGTTATCTTTGCAAAAATATATCATTTTTATCACAGCAATAAGTTACAGGAAATATGACCAGATATAGTGTTAATTAACATAAAAAAGGTGAATATACCAGTCTTATTCAACAAAAAACATAAGAAAATTCATAACATTTATATAAAACATACATCTAATTTAATTGTTTTTCATTACTACATTTAACACAACAGTTACTTGATAATATTTCACTTTACTGGACATTCTTACATTTTATAAAATGTTTAAGTTAAAATACAGATTTCTAAAAACATTATCTTTTAATTCGTTGAAATGCCAAACCCGAACTGGTATCAAAATACCAGAGAAAGATTAAATAGATTTTCAGAAACTGAAAGTTATGGAGTAAAGCACTTTGCAGGTGTATGAAATCAATCTGTTTGAAATTTACTTGATTTATGTTATTTCTTAAAGTCTATGATAAATCTATTAGAGTTAATTACAAACTAATAACATTTTCTAAATTATACTTATGAAGGATAATGTCTAATTAACAAAACAGAAAACTACCATGTCTTCTTAAATACATTAAGAATAAACAAAAAAATTCAAAACCAGGTGTCTTACATATCATTGTAACAGGAATTTTAGTTTATTTGTTAAGTTTTTTTCATCACTTAAACATGAATTTCAATTACAAAAAGATTATGTAGAGGTCTAATCTATTTTGTGCTTTACTACTCCCACTGTAACAGATTAGTTTTGCCAAATGAATGACTCGTATAGTGTTGGAATGTAAGCAGTTTGTTTGGTTTAAATGTACAGTCCTTTATTCATCACTAATAACCTAAAATACTTTAGATATTTGGATAACATGCGATATACAAGAAAATAAGTAACAAATAAATAACCAGTTAGGCCTCTAAATAATAATGGATAATTGTGACATAATTAGTACTATATCTCAATTAAAAAAAAAGTTATGGTATTCAAATGTATGGCATTTCATTTGTGGCAAACAAGGTCCTTCATGACTGTAAAATCATCAAAGATCAGGTGATGTAAAAATTATATTATACTGAGTGCTAATTTCAGCATAATCAAATGCTTGTGTCACATAGTAATAGTGTCATTATGATATTTGTCAAGTTTATACCATTAATTTGTGGTATCAAGAAAAACAATATAATTTAACTTACTGTATTTTGGGATTGCATGTTACTTGATGGCATGTGTTAAAAAGCATATTTTAATAATATATTCATAAACAGAACATATTTTTTGTAACTTGTCTTCTTACTGAAGTGTTAAATTGTTTTTTGAATACTATATCTTGTTTTACAGTATAGTCAGTACTATTGAAAGTATTGCAATAAAACATATTTAGAAGCTGATGGATGAAGCAATATAACTTTTGCTATGATTTAATTCAAACTGCTGCAATAACATTAAGATGTTTCTTCATGTAACATTCTTGATATTTGACCCTTAAGAGATATATTGTTAAAATAATTTGCCAAAAATGTTGATCTTGCTTTCAAGAAAATGCGAGCTTCATAGTGTAGACTGTAGTTGCCATGCAGATTGAAATTACTGAAATAATATAAATATACTGTATAGCAGCAGTTCCTAAAATGTGGTTTGCAAGAGGTAGCAGAGTGGATTGCTGAACAAGACATAACAAAACATTTTAAAAAATCACTTATAAGAGGAGCACTAAACTTTATTGCAATATATTAGAAGAACAACCCCTTCCCCAATTAATCATGGGAAGTTCAAAAACCCATGCTAATTGCTATATAAGGAAATATGAGCTTGAAAATTCAGTAACTAGAATTAATAATTTAAAGTTACCAGACATCTCACTTTTTAGCCTTTTTTTTTTGTCCTGATAAGTATTATATTTTCCCAGTTTCTATCTGCACCTGATGTGATTTTGACATTTACAGTTTGTCATCATACATGGCTTACTTAAATTTTACTTAAGAGAATCACCTGACACATACAGTCACAGGATACAGTGTTCCCTCTCTCTCTGGTACATTTTCTTAACCTTACCTGTCATAGAGCAGCTACAGGAATTGAGATTTGAAGAGCTGCCCAGCCACAAAAAAGAAAACAAAGTAACATTTTTCTGGTAGCTAGGTTCGAAAAAACTTAGGCATGTTTTTAAATTTTATTCTACCTATCATTATTTTTTTAATCAGATAAGCTTTTAGTTTTAGTTTTAAGTAAATAATTTTGTCTATGGTTTAAAAACGCGATGCAATAAACATGAGATTAGTTAGCAAATGGTAAAAGGTATGTAACTGTAAATTAAAACTGTTTCATAGCTGTTACAATGTCATTCCGTATGTAAGATAGTGAAACTATTCTCGTTTTTCACTCGGGATATCTGGCAACCCTAAGTAGGACTTAAAAATAGAATAAATTTTTCTTTGGAAAGTGATATTCTTATACTTAAAACTCAAAGTTCAAGTTATACTGTTATAGTTGTTATCGACACACCTTCAGGCTAATGAAATATAATAAGACATGATTTTTTAAACTGATTCTGATTACTTGTACTTTTAAAAAATCAGAGCTGTGCGTTATAATTTTCTCCACTTTATGGAACGGCAATCAATTCAATACAGTAAGAGTACTTAGGGTTAACGATACCCGACTCATGCCATCGTTTCTGACCAGCCGTTAGGTCAATCAGCAGAATAAATTTGTTCCGCAATCTACCTCCTAGTCCTACCCTAAAATTTAAAACCAGTTAAAAAGTAATGTAATAGTTGATTTTAACTATCAAATATACAAGTTCAAAATTAAAATAAAGAAAGTTTTATCAAACCTTACCTTATTATTTTGTTTTAAATACAACACTTGATCAATTGGCTATATTTATATCGAAAAAAAAAATTTACAACAATGTACGAAAGATTCTTTTTCTTCACATGTCGGCCATTTAGAAGTAATAATTTCGCCCCCTAGTGAAGTTGGTTTACCTTACTTTTCTCGCGTACCATACATTTTTCGGCTTGGCAAAAGGATCGTAATTTTTGTTAAACTGACGGATGATACTGTGTGATCTCATTTATTTTATGTCATTGAACTCAAAATTTTTGCTTCTTAATCGAAAATCTCTTTCAACAGAAACAAAGCTATATGTTACGAATTAGCTAGTTCTCACATTATATTTTTTTATATTTTACATCATTTTTAGTCTATACTCCAGATCTACAGAATTAGAACGTGTAAATGGATGATACGACAATCTCTGTAAGACTCTGTATATGAAATGTATAAAAATGAATGCAGTACTTAAAGTATGTGTATTATTACAACATAATTAGAAAGTTCTATAATTAATGATAGAAAAGTATTGGTTCATGGGCAAGTTTTAGGAGTAGTTGTCAAACGCGCAAAACCTAGAGTATGTCACACGAAATTAATAATAACTCTAAGGCCTCACTCTTGACAGACATTACATAGATGGCCAGTTAGAATATAGATGAGTGAGGCCTAGAGTGAACAAAAATCTCTTTGACAGTGGTTTTAAATGGTTTATTGCAACAGTTGTAGTCCAGAAATTTTTAACTCTATTTTTGCATGACAAGTGTATTGTGAGATTTTGATATCATGAAACATAAAATGGCCATTTTAAAAATGGTGATCTTATACAAAAAAAAAAAAAGGTTTCAACTATGAATTCGTGTATTGTTCTAACGTAGGCAGGTTATTTTGGATTATTTAGTAAAAATAATGCCAAGGCCAGTCCACATAATTATTACAAATTCCTTTATTTCTTCTTTAACCTTTGCTTCAGGCTACTTCCACTTGTAGATCTGACATCACAAAAAAACGTTTGTTTGTTTGTTTGGAATCAAGTAGATTTGTGCACAATGGGTTATCTGTGCTCTTCTCACCACGGGTATCGAAACCCAGATTCTATAATTGTAAGTCCGCAGACATACCGCTGTGCCACTGGGGGGGGGGGCAAAAATAACGTTTGAACAGAAATTGTGGAACATATTTATCAATGTTAAATTTTCTCTGGCTATTAATCAATAACATGCAATCATGCTAACTAACTCACTGTTTATCATACTAACTGAGTAACTCAATATGATTGTCAATGAAGTAATTCATTCATTGATTCACTGGATACTTCACTGATTAACTAACTCATTGAGTAGCATTTATATCAGTACTCATTTGATATACTTACTACACTGAAACTTCTATATTCCTAACTTTCGTGAAGTTTGTAAATGGCGTCATGACACGCTTTTCGTAAAAATAACCAAGGTATATATATATACCTTGTTATTGAAACCCCATATAGGGTTTTAGAGGACACTGGTCACATAATAATAATAATGTCTTTTTTTCAGTTAATTCGAAGCTATAAAAAATAATGATACTACTTGTACACTCATTGTCATTATAGCACTCTTAGAACATGGCTGTATTGATGAAATTTATTTCCTTTAAAGGAAATTGCTAAGATTTAATGAGGCAGTGCCCGAGTGACTATGTGGCATCAAATTTGTGAGATAAGCCAACAGAGTCATTGGATTGACCCCATATCTCTGAAGCTATACAGTGATCTCTCTTTAGTTCAGGCATCTTCAATTTTGATTATCAAATCTGGGTGTATTTTCATATAAACAGATATTCACAATGGGAATTTTTTAAATAATCCATATATTTGTGTCCTGAATTCAAACACCCATTTTTTATGGTGGCCGGACAGTTCGCTGCTGAACATTTTGCTACCGGTCTTTTCGTTACTAGGGTATTTTGCTACCTGATAATTTTATGTCATAATCTCCATTACATATCTTATTTAAGATAATAAAATAAAAATATTTCGTCAGTATTAGTTCATTAGACAAACAATCCAGTCAGTAAAATGTTTCTTCAATATCCGAGAAAAACTCCTTCAAAATAAAAAAGGCTCTTATGTTGTAAAACATTTTATTTAAAATGATGAAAGATCTGAACTTTTTAAAAATGATTCAGGCTTTCCTCGAATAGTTGTCCAGTCACTGCCTTGAATAGTTGTCGAGCCATAATGAGTTATTTATACACAGCTGGAACAGGTAGCGAAATACCATAGTAGTGAAAAGACCGGTAGCGAAATGTTCAGTAGCGAACTGTCCTAGAATCATTTCTTATAACAAATATGCATTTCCTATGGATACATAATTCAATAGTCCGTACAAGACTCCAGAAAAGTAGGGGTCGATCAGAAACTGGAAATAAGGTGATAATTACTGACCACAAAACAACTGCTCTTATTAGAGTATATCAGTTTACCAACACTTTTCCGAGAACGATCTTCTCTCGCACTGGGTACCGGTGTATGACAGATTTTCTAAGATTGATCTTCATAGTAGGAATGTACATATAAACTTTAACAGATATGGTGGTGTCATCAGAGTGATTTATGCTACTATCATGCCAAGTTACAATATTCCAAAACGAAGATACATAAAAGTATCAGCATCATTAAAACATAATTTTTGTTTATAGAATATAACAAATCCAAGTGCAAGCTCTGACACTATCAGTGAATGTCCACGAGGCTTTACAAATGGTAAATTTCGTCTGATCCAGTGTTAATACATAAATTATTGAAATATGCTTAAACTATGTCATAGTTCTGTCTCAGCACAAACAGGGTGAAACTATTGCGATGTTAGATGTCATTAATAAGATTGTTTCTGGAATCCATAACTTAATCTCGAGTAGTAATGATGCTAACTCTGATGATGAATGGCCCAACATCGACTCAACAAAACCAAATTGTCAGGTCAAGTCATCATTTTCATTGTGTCTCTTCAAGAGTTTGTTGAAAATGATTCTAACATCGAAAATTATACACAAGTTAAGCCAGTCTGTTCGAATAAAGAACTAACTATCTACCTTTAAAGATATAATTTCGTGGTTCAAACAAAACAATGGTTTGTGTGATGATGATGACGTAATACTTTATATACTTAAAGCTGCTGAGAATTTTCAAAATCTGACCGTGATTACATCCTTCTTTGAAAAGTGAATTGTTGTGTTATTAATCAATATTCTGTATTTTTTATTATATAAGTAAGTCATTAATTTGGACAAAATTATATTTTATGTAAATATAATGAAATGATGCTTTGATTATTTAATATAATTGTTACATGACAATGTACAGAATAATAAGCTGATGGGCTTATTGTACATACAGCTATTATTTTTTTTTATCTCTTGCATGTCCACTTTTACTAGTTTGCATCCTTACACTTACTGACTGATAATGTATGTTATTAATAGTGTCCATTGTATTAAAAGTGATTGATTCAACTATCCTAGTGTCTTGATTATCTGTATAAATTAGCTAATTACAAATATGTTTGTATTAAACGTGTTCACTATAATTCCGAATATACTATGTGTATTTTCACAAAATTTAAAAAGCTTTTAGTAAACACTGTATATAAAAAACACATTTTTGTAAAAGTATTTCTACTAAAGATTTGTGAATTTTCAAAGCCTTTACTGGATCAATCTGTGTGAAAGGTCACATTTGTGCTAAAAGTAACAATACTTATCTTTCTCTTAGAGTTTCATATTTAATTTATATAACATCTAGAGCGTTCTAACTGAATACCATAAGTTTTATCGGTAGGTGTGAGCACATCTGCCAGCATCACCGAGTGATCATGCCACAACCCATGATGGGACAAGTCACCAGGTCCCTCTGGACTTCCATCTTCACCTCAATGAAGGATGTAAACAACAGGAAAGAGTCTGCTGCTTGAGTCCTTGTCAAGCAAATCTCTTTATCCATGGGCTCGTTGATGGTGAATGTTCATTTGGCACTCCCTGCCTCCTTGACGACTTTAAGTCTATCATTGTAAATAACATCCTTGGCGTCCTGAAGCAGCTGCGAGGCTTCATAGTTTAAAGAGCAAAACTCCAAAGTCAAATATGAAAGGTTGAGCTAGTTACAACCACTTAAAAGTTCAGCCATTTGCATAGGTCAATGGAGGAATTGTAACCACCTCTCTAGTGCTCCAAGGAAGTCGGCACAGTGGTTGCTTTATCAAACATACATTGGTTGCATGTATGTGATGCTGAGTCACTGTTGTTGAAACCAATAAGTTATTCAGACCCACAAACACATCAGCATATTCACTCAACAAGTCACTGAGTTGCTTTTGCTGCATTGAGTCTAGATTACTTACACAATCATCAACTAATGCCATCAGGTGTGTTTGCAGTGTAGTATATGCTCTCAGCCACAGTGTGACAAAATCATCCCTAATATCACCATCAGCCTCAGTTACTTCTATCTCACTTACTATGCTGATGGCTATTCCAGCATCCAGCTGGATAGTTGATCATCCATAATTACAGAATAACACTGGGATGTCACCTCTTATTGGGTAGATCACTACCTGAGCTAATGTTCTCTGTCTTATGGAGAGTAAACAGTTTATTTCAAGTGTGGCTTTTATCACCTCATTACACGACACCAACACATTATACTGTGTCCCAATTAAACTATGGAATACCATTTGAGTCCATGGAGGTACTATTATTCACTACTCTATGTGCACTCAAGTGGTCATCTGCTTCTGGGCTCGATCTGAGTAGCATTGAATGACTCTTTACTATGGAACATCAGCCAACCTATTCCACAGGCAAAAGTGATGGATAGATTCCACTGCAGGTCCATCCCAAAAATGACCATTTCAGATCAAATACCCGAGATGACTATCTTTGTTTTGTAGACAACACCTTCCAGACTGAGCCAGAGATTTGTCTTTCCTTTAACATCTAATCTATTGCCATTCACCAGAACAAAGTCAATGTCTACTGGAGGGTTTGAAAAATTGCAAGATTCACTAGGGTTCTTACTGCTCCTGTCTATCAAGAACTGTCTGTCACCCTTATTGGCACATATCCAGCTTCACTCATCC